CCCCCCCCCCCCCCCCCCCCCCCCCCCCAGAGGAGGTATATTTGCGAGACAAGGGATGATTCAGTTTTAATTCTAAGAATTATTTTCAATTAGATGCAACAGATGACTCATATAGACTCAGACAAATGGCCTTGGAGCGCTCACTTGAGGAGTCCAAGAATGCTCCTTCATGCTCAATTTGTCACATGATATCTTCCTCCCTCCGCATGAGAGAAATTACTTTTGTCAGGTTAAAAACGTCTCAGCGCTATAGCTTCGTGGATTGTCCTGCTTTTTGCACAAATTGTCTGTCCTCGGCGGGTTGAGATCATTTTAGAAAACAGATTTCCCCTGTGTTTTTACCCGTATGTATAAATTGACACATTGGACAGCAGCGTCACGAGTGAAATGCTGCAAATATTCCTGTCACACCTGCACGCAGTTACGGTTTACGCAGTGCGAACCGCTTCCAGAGTTTTTATCAGCTATTCCGCTGAAGGACAGACGGATTGTGCTGAATCAAGAGGAGTTGAAAAGCCTCATCTGGCTTCGATTGACTTTACAACTGCAGTGATTTAATACAACGCGTGTCAGCTCTCACCTGTATGGTCGGGGCCGGCCATCCTCCGAAGCACAGTTTTGGAGACAGCTGACTTCCTCCCATGCTACTGAGCAACACCTCCAACCCACCCAGATTTATACATTCACTCACACATGGGGCTGATGAACGTGGTCGCTCTTGGCCTTGGCTCTCTCCTCGGGCAGCAGGAAGCTCTGCTGAGGAAATAAACTATCCGGACGATCGCGAGTTCAATTTATTCACTGTGCAAACAACTGCGGCTCTCCATAACCTTACTTCATGGTCTCCTTGTGGCTCCTGCGTTTGGGATTAGAACCAGATTTTCAGATTTTATCCGCCACCTTTAACACACACAACTTCAGGCTATGGATTTGAAGGAAAGGAGACTAAGTACAATCTAGATCTCACATCCTCTTTGCTGACCTGCAAACAAAAACAGAAACAATACTACGACGGCCCTGAGCCCAGAAAAACCCAGGAAAAACTTCTGATGATCCATCTTCTGTTTTCTCTCCTGTCTTTATGACGTAAGAACTGGTGGAAAGAAGGTTTTGCGAGGATAATCTATAAATAATATAAAATAAAGTCTTTTTCCATCTGGGATTTCACTCGACTCTCAGGCCTTCCGTAAATAATAATAGGCACTAATATTTTGGAAAAAGACAAAGTAACAACAACAAAAAACATCTATAAAGGAGTATAAGTCATGAATAAGCTGTTTCCCCTTTTGGATTCAAATTTTTTTCACTCAGTGTGGTTTCTTCATGTATGAGAGGGCCGTTTCCAGTCCAAAGCCACCAACAGAAATTGCTTTGTCATCGACATTTGCAACCAGCCCTTTTTTAAAATAAGATAAAATAACACGTTATACATTCCCAGGGGCAATTAAGTATTACAGCCGCACAAGATACAGACCAGATGAAGAAACACATTTTTGATATTTTTAAAAAACGGAAAGAAAAATACAGTAAATAGAAAACCCAATACCATGACTCAAATAAGAAAGCTTTATACAGTACTAATACTAATAATTACGGAATTATCTTTTTGTTTATATAAACTATAAGAATATATTTCTTCATTTAAATTTTCTTTGTTGCAGAATTCCCTACTCGTTGAAATCCCTCCCTATCGGAGCCAAAGACTCTCCACTCCGGTCCACGTCAACTTCTACGTTTGCAATGGCAAGAGGAAAAGAAGCCAGTACCAGCGCTTCACCTACGTCCCTGCCAGTGGTAAAGCTCTCCTCCTCACACACTCTCACGCTTAACTAGATATAAATGTATAGTCTTAAAGGGAATTTTGCATTTAGGGATGTTACAGAGTTCAGCTGCTTCTCCTGTCGGCTTTAGCTAACCTTTTGATTAGATTAAGACATTCAAACAAGACATTTTGAACTGCCCCTCACTGTGAAAAGAAAATAATTTAAATCCTTTGATTTACAAGGCCGCCCATCACCAAAACAAATTGCAAAGGCAAATTAGTCTTAAACCTCTCAGTTAATTTTTTTATTTCCAAGGGACACTATCGATGCGTTATCATCAGCAGGTGATCAACATGTGACCATAGACTGTATATAAGAAGTGAGCTTAGCCACCGTGACGCCACCCATTGGTTGTTGGCCGTTGATATCTTGGTATTTTGCAACCAGACTTTTATAACCAAATGCTGAATGAGACAGTTTTGGACGATCAAAATACAATAAACTTCATTCACGGACAACTCCCAGACCGGACAATGTCGTGGTAGCAACCTGTCAATCACAAGTTAGCCCCGCCCTATAGCATACCCTGCTTTATGGTCTGTTTGACTCTAAATGGACCATCATTTACTAAATAATTTACATCATGCTGTATTGAAGAAGACTTGAAACTAGAGATTGAGACCATAAACTCATGTTTACAATGTTTACTGAGGTAATAAATCAAGAGAGAAGTTTTCTCATAGACTTCTATACAACCAGACTTCATTTTTTTGTAACCAGAAGAGGCGCCCCCTGATGGCCATTAGAAAGAATGCAGGTTTTAGGCACTTCCAAATTGATTTCACATTTGGGAACCTGAGGTTGTCGCCTGCATGGAACGTAGCGCTGAGCGACCACGGACCACAGGTGTAAATGGCCACAATGCACCAAACAGCCTCTTCTATTCGAGTTGTGTGCTGTCCTGACATTTGCCGTCACCAGGGTGCTTCCTACACTTTACATTGTCATACAAATTGTCACCAAAGTAAGAGAATACCCCGTTATTACCTCTAAGCCCTCGGCACATTGTCGCTTATTTCGCCTTTCTTTTACTTCCTTGTCATCACCGCAGCACTTCACCACTCCTCAGACTGCTCCTTGCCTTTCATACCCCAGACTAATGAGAAACATTTTAGCCAGCGTTTCACATCTGAAGACAAGAACAAATGTTTGTATTCCCCCTCGTCTGGTGGTTTGCTAGGGAGGAACAAAGCAACGCTATTATTCCTTCATTGTTAAAAGAAAAAAAAAAAGAATCTATAAAATCTGTGCTTTTCCATACCTGTACACTACAGCGACTGGATGCACAAGGGCGGGGTGGGGGTGGTGAAGGGGCTGGGTAGAGGGGGTGGAGGGGCATGGGAAAAGCATGTTATTTGAATAGGGTACCTATTGCCAAGCTAAATATAAACACTGACCCGCCAACTGAAATGTAAAAACCACTGCTAATTGCGCTCCAGGCTTGGAGTGAAAGATCCAGTGGGCGGTTCAAAGCGGTGATTGAAGCGAACTGGCCCAGCCCTGTACGTGGGTGACGGAGTGCTCCGCTGTGAAAGTGGAGCATTGTCCTCAGGATCCAGAGAGTGTAAAGGAGAGGAGGGACCGGAGAAGACGGCTAGTCTGGTCAGTAGCTCTTAAAGCCGGCTGAACAAGAGGGACAATAAGAAGGAGAAAGTCAAGAAAAGTGTAAAAAAAAAAGCTAAAATACGTGAAACTCTCAGGTATAATGATGTCTCGTCACTTTTCTTTGCAGCAGCAGGTGTTGCAGATTTATTTTGGGACACGCGGCTGATTTTAAGACTCCGGAAAAACCCCGGGGGCACGCTCCCTTTTTTGCGGCAAGACAAACTTCTTCCTTCGCCCTTTATGTACATGTGCATCTGCCTCTCTCTCCTCCACAGGCAGGCAGACGCACTTCCCTCCAAACAGGCCCCAAATAGGGGTGCGTGTACTATTTTAGTGCTGCGGTTTGTTGTAACCATCTCATCGCAGTTCCTCTTTTACAGCTGTTGACAGTGGAGGCTTCAGTAAAGGCCTGACACGTCTCCGTTTCACTCCTTTTTGTCGAATTAGCCACTTATGCAGCCTGTTACGCCCTTGTACGTTTGAAATACCTGTATCAAGAGATTTCCCGATGCAACCCAAAAAAAAAATATATATATAGATAAACAACTACAAAATCAACCATGTGGATTAGTAAAATGCAGAATTAAGGGAGTGCCAAATGACTTCAGCGTCCCGGGTTTGATTCTGGGCCTTGGGACCTCTATTGAGTTAAAGGCTGAAAATGCCCAGAAATAAGAAGCACAATCACAGAACGAAGAATAAAGTACAAGTAATTTACTACTGAAGCTTGGATTTCAAGGCCATGCTTAATATTGTAATTTAAAACAGCTTCAACCACAAAAGAACATTGGAAAACGATCCAGTTCGGTGATGCAGTGAAGAAGCTCGGGGTCAGAGCCGGGCTGTCGTTTCCTTGTAACCGGGCTGAGGCGCGTGTTGGATGTTGACGTGGTGTCAGGAGCTGCAGCAGATTGACGGACCACATTTTAACAGCCTTGATGTCCAACATGGCCAGGACTCTGGTCCTCACTTTGCACGCTAACCACCATCCTCAGCCTCCATTTTGTCTTTTTCAGCTACATTTTGATAGCAGCTTTCACATTTAGTTAAACTTTCTTCTCTTCGGCTCAATGAGTGAGCGGCCATTTTTTTTAAATTGTGGAACCTTGCTGAGTATAAAGCCCCTGTTGCAGTAGCATATTTCATATCTCACATTTAGCACCGGAGCAGGGTCCAAAGAAAATAGGCATTTTATTATGGAAGCAGCTGTATGTTTCTCGTGTTGATGAGTCATCACTTTTTTTTTTTTTTTTTACTTTTGTGAATATTTTCAGCAGGGTGGGAGAGCTCGGGCCCAGACACAGAGTCTCATTGATGAGTGTTTGTTTGGCAGCGGGTATCCTAGCCACAAACCCACTCATTCAGTCTCTCTTGTAGGAAGGCTGGAATTTGTCTTTACTCATTTAGCGTCTCCTTTCTTCTTGTTTTCTCTCCCAGCCCCGACGATAAAGATGGAGCCACGCGACGACTTCGACGCCCCTCTGGTGTGCAGCCAGCGCGGCCTGTCCTTGCACCCAAAGCCATACTTCCCCCCTCAGGTCATGGCCCCGATGATGACCTCTGACCTCAGGCCGTGCGTGACGGGCGGGCCTTACTCTGTCAGTTTGGCAGCCAAGCCCTCCCCGCTGCCCGCCTCGTCCTCTCCGAGCACCAGCCCCAAACTGCACGACTTGCCGCCGCCGTTCTCCAAGTGCCTCTCCGCCGGCCCGCAAGTCCAACACCCGGGCCAACAGTCCCCCATCTCTCATGTCCCCATCATCCAGGAGACGCCCGGGCGCTACCAGCTGCCCAGCTTCTACCCACCGAGCAGCTCCTCCTCCTCCTCCTCCCCCCCGACCTCGCAGCCGTCCACGCCGACGGACGGCCCTTTCTCTCCGGCCGTCTGCGTGACACCAGCCCATCCGGGCAGTGGCAACGCCAGCCCAGGAGCTCAGCAGCACCCCAAGGTGCCACCGAGGGGGCGGGGTTCCCTTCAGGAGGACGGCAGCCCGCCGGCGCTGGCTGTCAGCATCAAACAAGAACCTCAGGAGCTGGACCAGATGTACCTCGATGATGGTGAGTGAAAAAGTTATTAGAATTATCCAAAATCAACAATTTTTTGAAATCCAGTGCACCGATACAAATATGAATAGAACAACCCGTCCAACAATTACCAAGACAAGAAAGTTTTAACTGCGCCCCATAAGATATCTGCAGCTGATTTTTGATCAATATGGAGCTTTTGTTTCAGAGAAAATCTCCATCATTTAAAGGAATATTTTAGGATAACGCTTCTTTGCTTTCTTGTTGAGAGTTAAATGAGAATTTTGTTATCGCAGCTGGTTAGCTTTTTTACATTGCCAATGTAGTGAAACCCTGATATTACTGTCTGTGTCAGTTACAGGCCACTGTAGGAGGAGTAGCTTGATGTGGGAGGGATGACTGTGCCGAAAGGTTCATCACTGCTGTTGCGAGTCCTATACTTTATGTGATTAGAGGCTGTCAAAAGTCCAGCATTTTATAACATCTCTTTACCAATTCTCTCACTTTTGTGGCTTTCCGTCGCTGTGAGCTTTCTCCCAGTCGTCTCAATTCTGAGGTAATTCGATCAAAGAAACCCGGTGGTCTAGCGTTTGATATATTCGTCTGTAAACCCAGAATGAGACAAGCCTGCCTAAAGCTCGCTGATATAATGAATACCGGTTTTTTTTTTGTGACCGCTTTTTTTATTTATCTCACAGAGAGCAGCTTTTTTTTTTTTTTTTTTTAGGAGCACAAACTTTATGATCTCACTGCTCAGGCCCTCCGCGCTCACCGCTGAGGTTTCGCGGGCCGCGGGCCGCATGCTCCATGGTGATTTGAAATAAATTGGATAAATGATCTTCCCCGGGGCAAGAAGAAAACAGTCCCCGGCTGTGTGTAAGTCCCGTGGAAGAACGGGAGCGGAGTAGATGAAGCATCAATAACCAGCAGCTATCAGCGGGCTTTGATCCATCACTAAGCCCCCCCCCCCCACTCAATCGTCTGGCCGAGCTTCCTGGCGATGGCGAGTGAGACGCTGTTGTTGGGACTCAGACTGCTCCCATGCCGCTTCCCCTGAGCAGTCTGAGTAAATGTATTGACACTTGTTACCCCCGTCTGTGGGGATATTTGGCCGGCTCGAGCTAAAGATTTGATTACACTGAAAAAGTGGTGCTCATGTCTCTTGAGGGTTTCTGCGGTTTAAATCAGGTGTCGTTAAAGTCTGAGTCTTAAAGTACGCCACCGTCACCACCATAACGGACATTTCTGAGGAGCTGGGCCCGGCCGATCACACTTGTATTCTTTGGCACATTGGCGGAAAGTATACGAAGCATTCCAAACTTAACGTGGCTTCTCACTTCATTAAAACCTTTGGCAGCGTTTCATACGACTCCTTGCTTTATGGTCTCGCTCAGGTGTGGCGTTGCTGTGATTTCATGTCGGCCATGCTCGTTAATACTCACGATATTCTGACTGTTATTACAAATAAAAGTCGGATCGTGTTTGTGTTTATGTGCTGTGGTTTAGTATATCATTGCCTGTGCATTACTGCCAGGAACCAAGGTTAATCATTGGCATTTATTTATTCAAAGTAGTGAAATTTAATTTAATTTGAGAAGAATTTGACGCAATTACGTCTTATTATTTAAATGGATGAACCTGCAACCACTCATCCTGTCCAGCAGCTGCAGTAAACTTCACTTTTGAATAAAAGTGACACAGTCAGGTGTCTGTAATCAGAGCTGAGGTTTGTGCAGCCCTCTCGTATTAATCAGTATCCCTCCTCCTGTTCTGCTCATGGAAAGTCTGAATGGTGCCGTCTGGCCTCGAGCCGGAGGTATATAGGCTGCAGGGTGCATAGTCCACCGCTGCTGAGGCCGAGGGAGATGGAGGCCGGCCACGCTGCCATAAAACTTGCTGACTGCACAGGCATGCATGCTTCCCTTTGGCTCAGAGGACGATCTGGGAGAGGTGGCCAAAGCCATACATTATACTGCACGGTAGTGTGCCGCCGACTCTTCGTCAGCGGTGAGGTAACACGAGCAAAACATGTGCATTCTGAACTCAGATCTGAGCCAAAAGGCATTACGGAATGCTTTTTTATGGCGCGTTGTGGCCTTGTTAGATGTCAGAACAGTAGAATTGATGAGCAGAGACTTTGGGGGATCATAGGAGAAGTATTTGTGAGAAGCATCCGACTGATTTTATATAGTAAAACTCGCTTGGTTCCGCAAATCATTTGCAGCCACACGTGGGAAAAATTGGCAATAGTTTGTATGATTTACAGGCATTATTATCCCGACTTCACATATATGGTTGTAATTAATTATCAGCCTTTCTTTTTATGAATAGTTTGGACTGTATCTTTTTCAGGAGAGACAGGTGCTGAAACAGTGTTCCAGACACAGGGTGGAAACAGGTATATTCAGACACAGTATGAGAAAATAAAGTGTTTTGTGAACATTAAAGCACGTAAACATTTTCTAGTAGAAACCCAAAACACAAGTATGAGCCTGAAAATGAGCACGATATGTCCCCTTTAAAAAGTTCAGTTTTGGCAGAGACCACTTTCACTTTCCTACTTTATTAGCTTTTCGAGTTGTTTACTTAATTTGTACATTTGGTGCTGAACTTTGTAATGGGGTTGACTTGTAAGTAATTGGAAGGTGTTTCTAATATTTTGTCCACTTCACTTGAATATTTCGAGGGGCATAAATTGTACAACACATTTTACAGTCCATCACAATCCGATACGACAACAACAGAAACTGCAGCCTCAGTAAAGACCACAGAGCTGACTTTTAGATCGATCTTTATTTGACAGTGACGATAAAGATAAACACAAGGCAACATATGTGCTGTGTGTACATAGGGCGTCTAGCTGAAGCTAATTCACTCAGGCTTTTAGGTTGAAGTCATTTTTCTACGTGTATGAAAATACATTTTCACTCTGTTTCGTTGAAGGCCTCACCCTTTCTATTTTTCCGTCACCTTAAAGCCTACAACGTTTACAAAAAGCTATTGTCCGCAGACGTTTTCTTTTTTTGAATAATACCTGGGGTAAAAAGAAATAGTTGGCAGAGCGTGTGGTGAACTGCAGAACCGCTCTGTGGGACTGACTTGCAGTAACCCAGTAGGAGCCTCATTATGTGGGCCAAGAACATCTCGTGGCTTGTGGCCTGGACTTGACGTGGCAGTAAAGAGGGTGTGTGGGGGGGGGGGGGTTTCTACCCCCAGCCTATTATTCTCTCATTGTCTCAGCTCTGGTCCCTCAACTGATTTATTCACAGCGCTCAGAGACAGAGTTTTATATCTATACTGTGTGTGTGTGTGTGTGTGTGTGTGTGTGTGTGTGTGTGTGTGTGTGTGTGTGTGTGTGTGTATATATATATAT